GCCATCCTCCGTCTCCATCCCTGGTCCGGGTCCTGTCCGCGTCCTGCCCCCCAGGCCGCCATCCTCCGTCTCCATCCCTGGTCCGGGTCCTGTCCCCCCGCCCGGTCCTTTAATCGGACCTTCCTGAGGCACTGCCAGTATGATGTAACAGGCGGTTAATACATACTCCTCTCTGGGCGCCCGCGGCTCTGGGATTTTCTGGACGACCCGGGCCCTACAGAAATTTGGATCGCCGTAAGCGGCGTTAACGCACAAGGTGGCTGAGGCCCTGGCGGAGGCTGAGGACCCGGGGACCCTGCGGCCGGGCTTTCCCGGCCGCCGCGCCTGCGCCGCTCCTCCGGGCGACCGCCCCACTGCGCAGGCGCGCCCCGCGCCCCGGAAGAGTTTCCGTGCCCCGGCGGCGACCCGGAAGCCGCCCTGCGGCGGGCGGGAGGGACCTGCGCTTAGGAGGCGAGGCCGGACCGCACAGCTGTTGCCGGGACGATGGCTGGGACAGCGCTGAAGAGGCTGATGGCCGAGTACAAACGTGAGTGCGGGTCCCGCGCGCCTCCTCCCGCTGTGGTCCCCGTGTCCCGCGCCCCCGCGCCCCCCGGCCCCGGGCCCCCTCCTCCGGCTCTGACCCCGCGCCCCTTCCTTCCGCCTTAACCCCTGACCCTGCATCTCTCGGCCCCCGCACCCCCTCCTCCCTCCCTAACTCCTGACCCCGCGCCTCCAGCCCTGGTCTCCGACTGTGGCCCGCGGGCTGGGCGCGGCCTGAGTGGGTGGCGATGTGGGAGTTGCGGACTCCTAAACCACTGAGTCATGCCCGCCTGTTGGCGACTAGGAGCAGGGAGCTTCGTTCCGGTAAATCGTGAGCCGCCGCGGAGTCTCCGGGCCCGTCCCCTGCGGGGCCCGCTTCCTGCTCCTGCATGTGGGTGAACACACTCGCACCGAGCGCTCTTGGAAAAGTAGATGTTCAGGAGCGCTGCCCGCGTTTGTGTTTGTGTCTGGCTCCTGGAAGTCGGAGCCGTGCACGCACGCGGTGCGGGGCAGCGTGCGGGGGAGCGGGGAAAACCGACGTGGCCCGCGGAGAAGTTCAAACCAAAACTGCAGGCGGAGAAAGCGCCTTGTGATGCATTTGACGTGAAAGGTCAGATTTTGGCTTTGTCTTTACTAAGGGAACAGGTTTTGGTCGTGCCCCCTGTCATTCTCCCTAGGGTGGTGTTCAGAAAACCTCCTCAGTGCTTTCTGAGCCAGGAAAATGTTGTAATATCTGGGGAGAGCAAAGCGAGAAGCGAAAACCTAGGAACATATTCCGTGTCCTGCCTTTTTCCAGCGGAATGCTCCCTCGGCAGAGTTGCCGGGAGAAGTCATGGCCGAAATGGGTGTGTTGAACGTGTTCTGAGCTGCTGGTGCACACGGTGGTAGCCTGCTTGTGGGGAGAGCCGGGCTTCTACGGCCATGGTCAGGGTTCAGCCGCCTCTGCTTATTAGCTCTTTGCTCACCGTGGCCTTGACCTCCGCACTTTGCTTCTCTGGGAAGATTCATGCTTTTCAGGACACCTGTTAGGTAGCTCTCGGTTCTTTAGGCTGTTACTGTTATGATGACACGGAGGATACTTTCAGTAGAAGGTCGGAGATAAACCATAGTAATTGGTAAATATGCACGGAGCTCCGTCTCCTAACCAGCTGCCCCTGCACAGGGAGTCTGTGTGTGACATGAGCAGACCAGGGTGGTGCAGATGTGGGCTCCTTAGAATAAATGTTTACAGACTGCTTTCGGCCAGTGTCCTCTGCTTGTAGGAGCATATTTGGGAGGCAGAGTGTGAACGGAGGGTTGAGTGGAAGTGGGACACTGCTGCCTCTTCCTCTTCAAGGGAAACCTGGCTGGGGGCGGTCTGTGCGGGGACACCTGTCATTCCTGCCATGCTGGTCAGTTCTAGACTGCAAGCAAGTAGGGAAGGAATCGATTAAGCCTGCAAGGGGAATTAGGTTCAGGCTGCTGCTTTGATCCAGTCTCTGCATTGTCGAACTTGTATTTCCTGAGGATATGTGCATTAGCAAAGATTATTTTTGCTTTTACTGTGTTTGCAAAAACCTCATCCATTATTTCAATCCTCCTGTCAGTTTGCTGTAATAAAATGCAAATAACACTTGACTTCCCAAAGTTGTGTCACAGAAGTGTATTATTATGTGTTTTTACGTGTTAATGTGACATCTTGGGGTATATGTGGAAGGCAGAACCCTAAAAAAGTCTCCCTAAGCTTGCTGGCCCCTGCTCGCCCCATCAGACCCGAACCTAGCACCGCTGTGAGAGCACTCTGGAGGTGTAACTTAGAGGTTACTGAGTAGCTGACTTACAGGTAGGGAGATTAACCTGGATTATTGGGGTACAACCCAATAATCAGTCAAGGCCCCAGAATTGCAGAGGTAGGCAGGAGGGGAGGTTCAGGAGATTCAAAGCATGAGGAGGACTCCACCTGCCGTGATTGGCTTGGAAGATGTATGGGGGACTGGGAACAGAGGAACGTGGGCTGCCCCTAGAACCTAGGGCTGATCCCTGGGGAGCCTCCGTCCCACAGCTGCAGGGACCTGAGCTCTGCCAAGGGCTGGCACCCTGCCAAGTAGCCCTACCATGATGCTGTCTTGTGAGACTCTAAGCAGAGAACCACCTGCCCCTTCTGACATGGAAACTGTGAGGTCATCAGTGGGTGTTTTTCTTTTCTTAAAGGTTTTTATTTATTTATTTGAGAGAGAGAGCAAGAGTGGCGGTGGGGGGTGGGAGGGAGAGGGAGAAGCAGACTCCCCGCTGAGCAGGGAGCCTGATGTGGGGCTCGATCCCAGGACCCTGAGATCATGACCTGAGCCGAAGTCAGATGCTTCATCGACTCAGCCACCCAGGTGCCCCAAATGGGTGTTGTTTTAAGCCGTTGAGTTTGTGGTGACAGCTTGAGAAAATGAATACAGTACGTCACCAAGGGGAGTTCTGTTGTTGCTGTATCTTAGAAACATCATAAAATTCCAATTAGTGATCCTCATCTTTCGTGAATTAGCATCTAGTTTGTCTTACCACATTTTAAGGTGGCACATCCATTGGAAGGTGGACTTGAAACCTGTCTGTGAAATGGGGTTTCAATAGGTTATTGGGATAGGGTTCAGGCATACTTTTTCATATTTGGGAATAGTCCCGGAACTGCAGAAATTTAGAGGTGGTGGAACCTTGGATAGGATTCTCTTCAGCCCCTGGTTTGTCACATTTTGCAGGAAATTCAATAACAGAAGCAAAATGATTTGCCTAGGTTCTTACAACCAGGAAAAAGGAGAGTCAGAAAAAGAACCCAGATTTTTTTTTATACATTTTTAAAGTTTATTTCATTTTTATTTTTAAAGTAGGTTTCACACCCAGTGTGATCAAGACTTGAGCTGAGGGCCGCCTGGGTGGCTCAGTTGTTAGGCGTCTGCCTTCGGCTCAGGTCGTGATCCCAGGGTCCTGGGATCGAGCCCCACATCGGGCTCCCTGCTCCGCGGGAGGTCTGCTTCTCCCTCTCCCACTCCCCCTGCTTGTGTTCCCTCTCTTGCTGTCTCTCTGTCAAATAAATAAATAAAATCTTAAAAAAAAAAAAAGAGAGACTTGAGCTGAGATCAAGAGTTGGATGCTTAACTGAGTCACCCAAGCACCCCAGAACCCATATATTTTAAATGGGTATCTTTTTGATGTTTTATCGTCACACATCATCCACCCTTTCTGAGAAGTGTTAAAAATAGACTTAGGTATTTTGGGTTTTAGGGGTCTCCTTAACAAAGTAGCACAGGCTGAGTGGCTTAACGAAACAAATTTGTTCGATCACTGTTCTGGAGGCCCGAAGGCCCAAATCAGGGTGTCGGCAGGGCCACACTTTGTAGGCTTTAGGGAAGAGGCCCTCCTTGCCTCTTGCAGCTTCTGGTGGTTGCCAGGAATTCTTGCTGTTCCCCGGCTTGTGGCGGCATAACTCCCGTCTCTGCCGGTCTTGGCTTGGCTGTCTTTCCTCTTGGGGAGACACCAGTCATGGCTTAGGACCACCGTGATCCAGTATGACCTCACTTTAACACGATTACATCAGCAAAGAGGGTCACATTCACAGATTCTGGGGGACATACTCAGCCTAGTACCGTATTGAATAAGAACCGCAAACTTGAACGTGGAGAACTGAATGCCTGCTCTTCCTGCACCGGTGCTGCCTCCACAGTCCCCATGTCTCAGTTGCTGGCAGCCACCTTCTTCCATGTTTTTGGGGCTCAAAACCTTAGATTCGTCCTTGATGACTCCCTTTGTTTTCTGTTCACATGGAACCTGTTGTCCTACCTTCAGACTTTATCAGGAGTCCCACACTGGTCAAAGCCACTCACCTGTGGCCTGGATTACTGCCAGGATAGTCCGGACAGGTCTTCTGCTCTGCCATTGCCCCGCTTTGTTCTGTTCTCAGCACAGCGGAGAGAGATCCCCGTAAGCTTGTCAGCTCATGTCACTCTGCCCAGGACCCTCTGTTGCCGTAAGAACCAAAGTCCTTGCAATGACCCTGCCTGTCTGACTTCTGACCCTTGTGCTCTCAGCCCCACCGGCCGCGTCCTAGGCACACTTCTCCCCCAGGCATCAGCACTTCCTTAGCCTGGATACCCTGCTCCCCTGCAGAAGCCTTCCCTGAGCTCCGGACTCCATCTGTCCCTCTGGTCACCATCCTCTTTTCCTGGCAATATCCCTTTTGAGCTTTTCAAAACATTTCTGTATTGTGAAGTGTATTGTATATGTAAAGGTAAATGGGTCTGTTCAGATGAAAAGTAAAATGAACATCTATCTGTACGCATGGCTCCCAACCTAAGAAATAGAACATTTGCGGTAACCTGGAAATCTTTGTGCTACTTCCCTCCACCCCTGCAAGTTACTGCCGCTAAAGTCTAGTAACTGGTTCCCTTCCTTTTCTTTGTAGTTTTACTGCTTAATATACTTATAAGCAACATACTGTTTATTTTTGCCTGTTGTACTTAATAGTTGAGATGGAACCGCACAGTGTGTGCTCTGAGAACTTTTGCTGAGCACTGATTCTGAGATTTATGCCTGTCATAGCATATAGCTGTGGTTCATTTTCACAAAGCCAAAGTTTATCCACTACGTTATGGATGGGCATTTGGGTTGTTTCCGGTTTTCGGTTATTATACATATAATGCTGCTGTGGACATTGCTGGTGCATTTGTGCAAGGTCTGTATCTGGGGTGTAATAACAGTCATGGGGCACTCCCATAACCCACATTCCTGGCTCGTTCCAGACTGGTTCCCTGTGTGCTTGTCCGCGTGCACACTGCCTTGAATGTTCACTGATGCCTTGGTATTGGGCACGGTCTATGTTCACCAATGTGATTGTGAGGCCTGGTTCCTTGTGGTTTTAATTTGTGTGTTGTAATTAAAGTTGAGCATCCTGTCATGTTTATAGGTGGTTTATGGGTTTTCCTTTGTGAATTGTCTGCTTGTGTCTTTCACCACGTTTCCATAGAGTAGTTTGTCTCTTTTTCTTAT